GGAGTTATCTCCAGCCTAAGATGAGCCATTGTGTTTGTGTAGTCACAAGCATCCTCTATGGGTGAACAACTTAACAGCAGACAGCTTTTAGAAAGTGTCTTCTTTCCCATCCCCCTTTTCCAACTTCACATTCACCGTAAGCAGAGGAGTGTTTTATTTCTTCTTTTTCCTATGCTAGTTTTTATCCCTGGATGTTAACAAATAACAGCTTCTCTATGAACCAGACCTGTTTCACCCATTGTTTAGTATGAAAACAACTGAAATGATGAGGGATTTTGTTGTTGTTGTTGTTGTTTTTGTTTTTACAAGAAATTAGGAGAATGCCAAAGGTAAGAAAACAGAAGACTCAAGTCTCAAATATATGTGACTAAGGACAGGGTTTGGAAATATTTGTGGGATAAAGAAGAGGGTAATTTAGGGCTGGAGAGATGGCTCAGTGGTTAAGAGTACTGGCTTCTCTTGCAGAGAACCCAGGTTCGATTCCCAGCACCCACATGGTGGTTAAAATGGCCAAGCGTGGTGGCGCACGCCTTTAATCCCAGTACTTGGGAGGCAGAGGCAGGCAGATCTCTGTGAGTTCAAGGCCAGCCTGGTCTACATAGTGAGTTCCAGGACAGCTGGGGCTACAGGGAGACCCTGTCTCAAAAAAACCAAAAAAAAAAAAAAAACCCTAAAAAACAAGAAAAAACCATCCATCCAATAACTCCAGTTCCAGGAGAATCTGACGCCCACTTCTGACCTCCACAGGCATTGCACAACATGGGTGCACTAACACATAAGTAGGCAATACACTCATACACATAAAATAAAAATAATAAATACAATATTAAAAAAGAGGACACAAAGTTGGGGGTAAGGGTGGACCTGGGAAGAATGTGATCAAAATACACTGTAGGAAATTCTCAAAGAGCTAATACAAATATCTTTAGAGACATATTCAGAAAATTACAGTGATAACACAATCTGAAGGTAGAGTTTTGGCCTCTTAACCACAGAAAGTCAAGCACTGGACACTTGTACGGGCCTAAGGAAAGAGTTAGTGGCATCAACAAAAGTAGCCTTCAAGTCCCTGCAAGGTAACCTAGGCAGTTTATATCATCATGCCCGTTATCATGGTGAGGAGGAGTTATCTACAGAAAGGTGAGCAGGACATGAATAATACAGTGCTTAGCTATACAACCTCCAAAACGAATGGACTTTAAAGTCAGCTAAACACAAGTACTAAAAGCAAAAAAAGCCAGAAGGTTCACTCAGGTCTGCTCAGTCTCAGAAGCAGTTTAAGATGATTCTATGGGCATTCATAGGAACTAAGAATTCCTGAAAAGGTGGCATTTGCTACATGTGGACCAAAAGGAATTTTAGAATGAAATCTGTGACTGACAGTCATTACATTGCCTCTCAATTCATGCTCTGCTCCCATTCTTATATTTCTTAGTTGCCACAATCAGTCCTTTGGGGTGGGTATTAGTTCCCCCATATTGCAAAAAAGGAAGCTAGAGGAAAGAATTAAGTGACATGTTCTGATCACACAGCTAGTAATTGGACTTGGATCTGGAACCTGGCACTTTTGGCTCTATTCCATAGTTTAGGCTATTTGAAATTTTTTGAAAAAAATTTTTTGAGGCAGGGTCTCACTGTGTAATCCTTGCTAGACTGGAAATTGCTATAGGTCAAGCTAACTTTGAACCCACAGAGATCTACCTGCCTTTGTCTCCCAAGTGCTGGGATTAAAAGAGTGGACTATTGTAAAAATTTGTTCAAACAGATATAATTTCAAATTGTTGGGAAAAGAGTAAAAATATTCGTGATTTGTTAGGTTTTGGTCGGTGGGTTATAGAATTCTTTCACATTTATTTTTGAGCATCAATGTTATAGCATGTTTTCTCTTTGTCAAGGACAACCTTTGTTTTTTTTTTTTTTTTTTTTTTTT